CTTGCGCTCCCGACTTCGCCTTCCTCCGCCAACGTTTCCTCGCCTGCGCTACGTGACAATAACAATCAAAATTTTAGGTTGGTACACACAATCACGAGCCTTTTTACGCAGCAAAAAAGCGTGTGAACAATACAACCACGCCTCATCTGTCACCATTGAAGGTTTTCTTTTCTCTCTTTTCCTGGTAAGCAGTACCATGATTTTTTTTGGTTAGCTTTGTCGATGGATAGAGTTTTGATATCATTGCCGAGAAGTTTGCAATCGCTTAAGCAGATACAGTTTGTTGGATTTTCTTTTATCGCTCAATTCCAAGTTTTTCAGATATATAAATTTCTCTTGACTGAAACAGCGTCAGTATTTTAAATGACATTCATCAGCAGCTCTTGAGAAGATGGCAAAAACCGAAGTGAATATGTTTAGGTGTTTAGTTCGCTACTCTGTGCTACCTCTAAGTCTGTCTTTCTAGAAGCTTTTGATTGTAACTATATTTATCGAGACCAACGAACGACTACCATTCTATCCGTAATCAGCATCCGTTATCAAGATAGTAATTGTTAACATGACTGTAATCCTTGTGACGTCAGCCACATGCATTAAGCGGTGTAAACATAATACTCCGACCCACCGCTAATGTTTAATGTGCTTGGTCGTTGACTTGGTCTTGATGCCTGTTGCCTCTCGCAGAAACTTGAGCATTTTGGTCCCAAGATGGGTGTCCACGTGCTTTGCACGAGCGTGGTAGCTTCGCGTTGACTGCCAGACCTATTGCACCTTGACTGTCGTCCCATATTTGCGTGCCTCCCATTTGTTTTGACCCATGCCCTTGAGTATTGCACGCGTCCAAAGTACTTCTTCTATGCACAAGCTTAGCGACATATACTCTGCTTCTGCAGAACTTAGTCCGACGATTGTCTAATACTTGGAATTAAATACTATTTTTAAAAGATGCGCCTCATCGTGTAGACTAGTGGTGCCAAGGAAGCGTTTCTATGAGCGGCCGCTAGCCGGTACATATCAATATTACCGATGTGGACAGGCTGTTTGCGCAAGTTGCAGTTTTGTGGATTTGCCAAGTATTCAGTCCAGTATCCAGTGAAGAGACTATCCACAAGCGCATAAAGGGTACATAATTCCAGTAAAGAATCCAGTGAATATTCTAGATAGGCTTAGAGGTAGCACAGAGAACTAAGGACTTATAATATATGTACTTTGCATTTTGCAAACTAGTGCTCACTTCGACCGTTTCATCAGGTGATGATTCCAAGACCAAGTGACTCTGCTGCCCCCAGTACTGACTACGCTTTTGACATGGGCACTACCAACAAGTTTGACGGTACGAACTTTCACCTATGGAAATTCAAAATGCAGATGGTGCTGGAAGAACGGGACTTATGGGATGAGGTGAGCGCGGAAATGAGCACTTGATGAACCCGCTGGATCAATCGAGCTACTAGCGAAAGTCACGCAAGGCCATGTCGATTATCTGTCTCGCGATAGAGTATTCGCGATTGCCTCTAGTTCGTCGGCAAAAGACGCGTATGATGCATGGTCGCGTCTTGTAGGCATTTCGAGAAGAAGAGATTGGCAAATAAGTTTTTTTACGTCGACGATTCTTCACGACGATGATGGGCGAGGGTGATGACATACTTTAGCACATCAACAAGATCAAGACGTGGACAGAAAAACTTGACGCAGTGGGTAAATTACTTTCATTAACTTTAATTGACCTAATCAACAGATACAATAATAGGCAAAGTATGCATGTTCCTACATACAAGACGTTTGGGCGGCCATGACAGTGGCCAGTAGCAGATAGCCCCGGTAGCGGGTAATAGCCATCAATCCGAGTGCGCAGAAAACCATACGCAGGTAAGGTGCAAAGAGTTGACTTGGTCGGATGGCACAGGGATGTGTTTTGAAGATTGAGAAGATTCGTTGTGTCGACCCTGTAATGTGTTCCTCGTGGCGGAACAGCTGAAGGTCCATCCAGCCCGAAGCTTTACTTCACGAGTTTGACTTCTGTAAGCGAAGTCAATACGGGGCGCTGAAAAGTGTCCTATGCGTGGATAAGGTACAGATTGGGGACTTGATGTCGATGTGCGCGCAAATAAGTGCGTCGGTGTTAAGTGCTGGGACTGGACTGTCGTCCACGAACTACCTGAGATCCATATTGCGATGGTTATCTTCTTGTAGTTTCCCGTAACCAGAACTCCCGAAACA